ACTGAAGACGAGGAGCTCGGGTGGACGTGTGGCTTCCCATTTGCCCTCTCCCCTGGACCACAGTCCCATCCATGTGGCCCGTTCCTGGAAGCACACCCACCACACCTGGGACTCCCTCCTGACCTTTCCTCCGACGGGGCCCAGTGAGGCACTTATGAGTTCACTGAGCACACTTCGTTTTATCTCCGAAACTGGGGTCCGAGGGCCAGTTTTCCCATGTCTGTAGCAGTTAACAGAAGTTCTCCTAAGGCCAGTGGCAGCAGAACTAGAAGGGAAAGAGAGAAATGGCCATAGCAGTTATTCACAAATTTCCTCATTATAACCCTGAGCGTCACCGCTGGAGATAAACTGCGCATCAGGAGCTTTGCGGACACCAACCCTAACAACAGCCCCCGGGGGGAAGCGCTACGTTTGTGTCTGTGTGGCGCTGGTTCAAAGCGTGGTAAGTAACGTGTCCAAAACCTTTTGGGGACACAGCTGGGACTCTGGCCTGTTGCCCTCTCATTTTAAAGCCATGCTATTACCTTCTGCATTTTCCTGAGTTTCAAAATTTTACTGGTCAAGAATTGACCACAGACCCCACAATAGAACAGGCGAGACTCGTACCTGGAAGTGGGGTGCTGTCAGGCTTCAGGGGCTGAGACTGCGTCTCGCCCGCCCCATCCTCCTGAGAGCCGGGTGCGGCTCCATTGCACTTGCTTGTGACAGCATGGAGGACACTCCCCCGGAATCCGGCACAAGCCCTGGCACGCAGCAGAAATGCAAACAAAACATGTTCAAAGAACGGGAAAAAATTTTGGTTTGCAACCATTGCCATCTGACAAACCTTTTTTTCAAGGTGCTGTCATTTTTATTTACGTAAGTAAACTGATTTTGACAGTCTTTTACATGGAGGCTAATGTGAAGCCATGGGGGGCGGGGAAGCCATATTTAATTTTTACTGTGCCATGTATGTAAATACAATAATATTTTGCATAGTGCCTCAGCAGCTGTGGTTTTTCAGGAGAAATGAGATCTGGCGTTTGCCCACTCCCAGAAAATGGGCAGAGCCTCCTTCCCATTTTCACACCAGGGTATCAGACAAAAAGGAAACCCCCTTCTCCATCCCAGTTGTGAAATTAGGCCAGATCTCAATGTAAGCACCACTTCCTCTGAGAAGCCTTCCCAAATCACCCCACCATGGGTTATGGGCCCACAGGATCTGTCTCCCCCATTACAGTCCTCTGCAGAGTGATCGCCTGCCTATTCATTTGCATCCCTGCCCCCTGAGATGACCTACCCAGGACTGGGGCTTTATCTTGTTTCAACGGATTTCCAGCACCTGGCACAGAGTAGATGCTCAATATATGCATGTTTGTTGGACGGAGGCTCTGCCTTTCCCAAATCTCCTCTGTTCGAGAGCTGTTATGTCACTGGAGCTGCTGGCATGATGGCCCTTGTTGAATGAGCTTGTCCTAAGCCCCTGTCCCCTGCTGCTCACCCCCTTTATCTGACAACAGGAAAATGCACTGAGACTGTGTCTGCTCCCTCCATCTGTCCTTGTCATCAGAATCATGCGCCCATAGTATGTTCCAGTTAGTGACCCATTTGTCCTGTCTGCTCAGCCAGTCAGAACAGCAATAATCACGACATCTGCTGAATGCTTACAAAACATCAGCACTCTTACATCAATTATTTGGAATCCTCATAACAATTCCACAACGGGAATATTATTACTCCTGTGGGTAAAGAAACAGACCTGGAGGTCTCAGTAGCTTCCCTAAGGTCATCCAGTAAAAATGTGGTAAACGAATGAATGAATGAGTGAATGGATGAATAAATGTCTTAACAACTCTGGTGCTTTGCTACTTTTCTCTTTTGTTCCCCATAACACTGGAGATAGTTCACTGGAACTAAAGGAGCCAAGCAGCTTTGGGGGTTTCTAAACCAAAAAAGCAGGAAGTAGTGAGGAGGTGACCCTGACAAAAGGCATCTCTAAGCAACCCGAGTTACTCAGTAACCTGAGCCCTGGTCCTCATGGGTGGCCTGGCCAGGCTGGGCCATGGCAGGCAGCAGACACTGGTTCCCCTTGGCTACACTTCAGATGCCCAGCTGGTCATAGCTGGAAACTGGAGATAGAAGGTCAAAGATTGGACAAACCCCAGGCCAGGCAGGATGAAAGCTGGTGGCAGAGTCAGGGGCCCCTCAGAGGAGGGCTGAGGTGAAGGAAGGAGTAAGATGAGGCCCCCAATTCCATTAGAGCTTCCAGGGCCAGAGGAGGCAGGAGGGGGCCCCTAGAGCCTGACATCACTGGATAAGCCAAGAGAAAACCATGGACTGGGCCTCTCATATTAGGTGGTGGGCCAGGAGAGCCCACAGAGGGGTGGGGTGGGCCCGGGGACCCTCCGAAGGGAAGCATTGTCATGGTCTTGCTCTCTGCTGAACCAAAGGGTGATATTAGCTGGTACTCACTAGTTGTTAAAATATCAAGATCTTCCCATACAAGTTGGTGAAGAGCTATTGCCCAAAGGTCTCCAAGTGTACCCTCTAGAGGCTGGCCCAGCTTTCCTGGGCTTTCCAAGGGCTCCCTTTAGACCTCTCCACAATCCACCAGGCAAAGCATTAACACCTTCCAGGACAGGGTGGCCTCCAGGACCCGACCCTGTTCCTGGTGTTGACTAGAATCCCAGGAGCTGGCCCAGGATTGGCACTGAATGAATAGTTGTTGACTGAATGGATGAGCAACAGAGGAGAGGGAAAATCAGAGATCCTGAGGAATTTAGACTAAGAGAGTCAACAGGTAAGACAGAGATAGAGGAGGCTGGAATCAAAGAGAAAACTCCCAGGGATGCTGGGAAGATCCAGCTGACTGGGCCTTGCTCTCTCTGGTTCTACAGCTCCTGAAGGCTCTTCCCCTCACAGGGCCCATCCAGACCCTGCCTGGGCAACCCAGAGCAACCCACATGCCCAAACAAGGCTCTGCAAGCAGGATGTGTCTCCGGAGCCAGCAGGCTGACACACTGGGAGGACGCCCAGATGCTGAATTATACAAGGATTATTATCCAAAGACTGTTGACCAGACATCTACTTTCCACATCACTCCGTCACTAGAAAACAGCCTTCCTGCTGACCAAGTAGGGAGCCTCTGGGCCAGGGGCCACTGAGGGCCAGAGAACCTGACTGGCCTGCTGAGAGCAGTGCTATCAAAAGCTGCTACCCAGAGGCTGACCCCACCCCCACCCCATGCCTGACTGGCTAGGCACTTATGTCAGGAAGTTGGACACCTAGAATGCAACAGTCTTCCAGCCCACACTGGCCTGGAGGCTCAAACCCATGGGGAGGGGAAGAGGAGGTGAACTCGGAAAGGACAGAAGGGGAAGCAAGGAGGGGGATCGGGGCCTTCATTGTTACCTCTATCCTTAACCATTCCTGAGAGGGGGCAACTTCTTTCCTAGGAGGACCCCCACTCTGCATCCGCTCTGGGAATTGGCTGGCGCCTATGAACCTGGACCACATCTTCTGGCAACGGCAATTCTTCCTGCAGGCAGGGGTCTTGAACATGTTTGCAAATGCCTGCAGTCCCCTTCAACATGACAGCCCCCTCAGACAGTGGAATGGCATTGCAGACAGAGGGCCTCCCTTCCCCCAGCCCCTCCGAGACTGGCCTTCAGCTTTTCTTTTTTGAAGGCCCTCGTGGCCTGTAGGTGTCAGAACCCACGGTGCCAGGCTGCCCACCTGTTCGGAGCCCTCCAGCGGCCCAGTGCCCAGGGGTTAGAGGCAGTGTGCCTTAGCAGGGCCTGCAGGGCCTTTCTAGACACCCCACCCCCGGCCTCAGTTCCTGAACACACGGGACGTTCACACAGCCAGATTCTGTCTGTGCTGGGCCTTTTCTTGAAATGTCCCTCTTCTTTTTTCACTTGCCCAATTCCAGGGTTGTCCTTCTAGACTGCCTACGGACATTAGCTGACAGGAAGCAGTTCTGCAACTCCATGCCCTCCCTCATCCCCACTTCTGTGGGTTCTTCGGCCTCTTGTTTTGGGTCCCCACAGCCTCTGTGCTTTCCAGGGGTCACACATTTACCCCAATGGCAACTAAATTCCGTCGTGTCTGTCTCCCCACTGGGTCAGGCTTCTGAGGGGAGGGGTCCTCTGGTTCATCTCTGAAGCCTGGCTCACAGTGTCTCCTCACTGTCTACCAGGTCCCCAGGGGGTGCAAATCTTGCTTGTGCAACAAGGGACTCTTGACTTCTAAGTACAAAGACCTCTCTCCATCTGGCTTTCCTTCTTTACAGATGCTGAGGCGGCCCAAACCCTCTCATACTCACAGTGGGCTGTGCAGTGAAGCCCAGCCTCAGTGTGACCCCTTCCCAGCCTGCTGCACTGTGGTGGGGTGCAGAATGGGGATGGGAGGCCGAGGGGGGTTGGATGGGGTAAGCAACTGGACTGCTGAGGCTCAGACCATCCCAGCTGGGTCAACCATCAGTGCCCAGAGAGCCATCTCTTTACCTCCATTCTCCATCATGATTTTTCAGTTTGGAAAACGTTGAGTAACCCCTCAACTCTCTCTTGTGTTGAGCCTAGAGGGGCCAGGCCAGGGCCTTTAAGGGCCACGTATTCCTTGGGAAACACTAACACCGGCTTGTTTTGTTTTTGAAGGGACAGGTGTCCCGCTGCCCCCCGCCCCCCGGCCTTTCCCCCACTGGGTCCACAGCTATGTCTCCAGCAGGTAGAATACCAGTGCTTTCCCAGGGGCATTTCCAAGGAGCTGGACAACCAGAACAGCGCCAGGGTCACTGGGGCAAAGGGAGACAGGATCCGGGGTTCAGAAAGCCCCCATCCCTCCCAGCCTTTGCACTCTCGGGCCTGGGGTCCAGGGCCCCGCTGCCCATCCTCCTCCCCAGCAGGAGCCGGGTGCGGGAGCCGGGTGCGGCACGAGGCTGTCTCCTCATGGGAGAGGCTTCCACGTGGGAGGACGCCATGGTGGGCGGGGTCTGGCTCCAGTGAAACCTGTCCCGCCAGCCCAGGCATGTCTGTTGGCGCCCCGCGCCCAGAGCCTAAGCCGGAGCCAGAGACTCGTAGCTGCTGTCCCATGGCAGGGTCCCCGCGCCGCGCCGGCAGCCTGCGACTGCAGCTCCCCATCCTGTGCCTCCTCCTCCAGGGCGCCACCGCCATCCTCTTTGCTGTTTTTGTCCGCTACGACGACGAAACCGATGCTGCCCTCTGGCACGGGGGCAACCATAGTAGCCCGGACAATGAATTTTACTTTCGCTACCCAAGTGAGTTCGGGTGAGGGAGCGCGGGAAGCAAGGGCACCAAAGAGGGGACATTTGGGTGCCCAGATCTACCCCTGGGTGGGTAACCTTATCACTCTGAGATTAATGTGCCCCAGATTTATTTATTTATTTATTTATTTATTTATTTATTTATTTATTTATTTATTTATTTATCTTTAGAGGGGAAGGGAAGGAGAGAGGGAGAGAAACATCAATGTATGGTTGTCTTTTGTGCATCCCCTGCTGGGAAGTGGCCTGCAGGGAACCGACCTGCAACCCAGACATGTGCCCTGACTGGGAATCGAACCTCCATTATCTGGTTCGCAGGCCCGTGTGCCCCAGATTTATAACACCCTTTCACTAGTGTCTGCTACGCTCCAGGTGGTATGCTGAGGGCAGTGCACAAATTATCTCATTTAGTGTATAAATTAGAGGTGGGGAAACTGAGGCTCAGAGAGGCTGAGTGGCTGGTGCAGGGGCGCGCTGCAGAATTGAGGGAGCTGGGGTTCCAACTCGGACCCGGGTATGCCGAGCTCCTTACATACACCACAGCTCATCTGCCAGCTGACAAGGCGCAGGAAGGGGAGGGTTAATCCCCTGACCCCTGCAGGGGACAGAGCCTCACAAGGTTGAGGGTCCCAGCCTTGTGACTTTGGCCCTGGGCAGCTGGGATCAAGGATACCAGATCTCTCAGACTTTGTCACAAATACTTGGGTAGGCCTTCTCTATGTCTCAGTTTCACCATCTGGGCAATGGGGAGAAGGATGCCTCAGTTTGAAAGACATGCATTCAAACAAGGCTAAGAGTGTGAGTCTCCTATTAAAAAAAAAATCACAGGCTGTCATTATCCTACTTTCTGTATGCAGAGCTGGCATCAGGGTGTCCCCACCTGACCCTGTCCTAGCTGCAGCGTGACAAAATGAAGCTCACAATGCTGAGGGCCTAGAGGGTGAGGTAGAAGGTTGGAACTGGGACAGAGCACCAGACCTCCAGACATCCTGGGCAGAGGGGACGGCAGCCCCTCCCTCACCCCAGCCCTGGCTGGACAAGGTGAGCCATGGAGGCTGTGATCAAAGGCAGAGCCATAGGGCTTGAATGGCAGATTCTTGGGGTCCAGAGAGATAGGGAGTTGGAAGGGAACAGTCCACAGGCTGAGAGAGGTCAGCTCTTGTTCCAGGGTCTTACTTGGCTGCCTGCCATGAACCCCTATTTGCCTTTCCCCTGAGCCTCACTGAAGGCCTCTAAACCCTGCTTGTTTCAAAGTCCTCCCTGAAAACTGCCAGCTTCTCGCCCCTCTGTGGAGTGGGGGACTCTCCTTGGAAACAGCTTGTTCACCCTGTATCGCAGTAAGGGGTATGGCAGTGGGAGTCTTCCCTCTTTTTCTTCCCTGGGTTTCCACCCCTGTGGACTTGGGACCCTAGTGTGGGGGAAGGTTGGGGAGGAGGGAATGTGAGGTCCCTGGAACCTGAGGCTTTGATGAGCTGGGTCGCTACCTGTTCTCGTGTCCAGGGGAAGAGATCAGAGTCAAAGCGAGTGTAGCCGCTGCCCTTTGATGTTGGCAGCTGTCGTAGCACTGAGGAACCAGCCAGTTCCCACGGCCTGGCTGCTCTGAGGGTCTCCGTGAGGACTGCTGGAAGGGCCCTCAGAGCCCATCTGGTTCACTCCACTGAGGTGTGTAGCAGACACTGAGAAGGGCCAGAGAGAATATGTGACTACCCAAGATCACACAGCAAGTTAGTCAGGCTAGAACCAGGTCTCTTGGTTCCCTAGCTGCAGCCTTTCCCCCACATTATAAGCTTCTTACCCCATTAGGCAAGTAATGGGAAAAAGAAAGAAGGAAAAACCTAGGGTTACAGAGACCGCTGAAGCAAACAGGAGAAAGGGTTCTAAGAAAAAAGTGTAGACACGTTTTTTTTTTATACGTCTCTGAAAACTTGCCCATTGGGAGAGGGATTTAGAATAGATGGAATCAGGATCTTCTTGCAAGAGGTGTGACCCTTAGCAGAGTGGTTGGTGCAACTGCTTCCAGAAGAATACAGCCCCATCTGCCCCCGCAAAGGCAAGAGGGGACAGAGTGGGAGGAATGGCTTCCCCAGCTTGCCACTCACTTTCCTGCTCCTCATATTTTATAGCTCCACTTTCCAGATGAGGAAACTAAGGCTCAGAGAGGTTAAGTGGTTTGTTCAAGGTCACACAGCCAGAAGGAGGGAACTGTCAGCTTTAAATGTTCCCTTGCCCCATAGGCTTAATCTTGTTCAGGAGTCATCCTTGTTCAGGAGTTCATAGTGGGGTTGGGGAAGGACAGTTAGAGAAGGAGGGAGGGCAACAGGTGGCTCCAGAGGGCTTTTATCTTCTCTCCAGCTGGGCTCCAGCCTGCACCCACAGAGATCCTCTGAAGGGACTGGTGAGGGGACACCTTCTGGAATGTTCCCCAGTGAAGGAGATTTCTTGATGTTCAGGCTCCAGTTGAAAGGCCAAGGGATTGAGGTTTTTTGTTTTTAATCCTCGCCTGAGGTCATATTTATTGATTTTTAGAGATAGGGGAAGGGAGGGAGGGAGGGAGGGAGAGAAACATCGATGTGAGAGAGGAACATTGATCAATTAACCCTCATATGTGCCCTGACAAGGGGCTAAACCCTCAACCTAGGCATGTGCCCTGACCAGGAATTGAACCAGCCCCCTTTTGGTCTGAGCCACACCAGCCAGGGTATCCAAACAAACCTGGGGTAGGAGATGTAAATATTATTGCCTTTTAAAACAAGTCCTGGAACAGTTTTGTCATGTAATGGGCACAGAGTCCTGTGGCCCAGCCCGCTCCGTTATCCTGTCGTCCTTGGGCAAAAGAACAGACATGGCACCCTCTTTACTGTTTGCACAAAGAGAAAAAAGGCCAAGCAGTGAGACCTAAAAGAACTTAGGCTGTGGGCTGAGTTCAAATGATGTCTCTCTTTTTCTATTGGGTCTTAAGATCTGGGACAGAAGAGAAATCTGGCTAGTGTGGGAGCGAGCAGGCAGGGCTGGAGAAGTGGCACAGTGTTGGGGGAGTTTAGGGAGGCCAGGGGTCTCCACAGCCTCAGTCCCCTTGGTCACTGGGACAGGCAGCTGTGCTGCAGGCTTCCAGTCTCAGCATTCGCCCAAACCTTGACCAGGGGCTTGTAAACCCATTTCTTATCAGCCCATATACAGCACAAAGAAAGCATAAACGTTTGCTTTTCTTAAAGTGAGTGATTACATTGTGAAGTTCAAGAATCCATTTTTGGCTTATTGGTGCTTCGTCAGATTAAACAAAAAAGGTGACTGTGATTTTGTTTACTTCATGATCTGCCTCTTTCTACAAGAGACCTGAGGTCCTTTACAACAAAAGGGATGTATCAGAAAAGAAAAGCAGCCCTGGCTGGTGTGGCTCAGTGGACTGAGTGCAGGCTTGTGAACCAAAGGGTTGCTGGTTTGATTCCCAGTTCGGCACACACACACACCTGGGTTGTAGGTCAGGTTCCCAGTTGGGGGCCTGCAAGAGGCAGCCATACATTGGTGTTTTTCTCCCTCTCTTTTTCCTTCCCTTTCCCTCTGTCTAAAAATGAATAAATAAAATATTTTTTTAATAAAAATTATTTTAAAGAAAGGAAAGAAAAGCAGCCCTGACTGGTGTGGTTTAGTGCATTGGGTATCACTCTGCAAACCAAAATGCAAACCAAATTCACTGGTTCGATTCCCAGGGGTCCATGCCTGGGTTGCCGACCAGGTCCCCACTGGGGCATGTGAAAGGCAACTGATCTATGTTTCTCTCCTTTTCCTCCCTCCCTCTCCCTCTCTCTAAAAATAACTAAATAAAATCTTAAAAAAGGAAAGAGAGAAAGAAGCAGCACACCAGTCGCGGGACCCCTGACCTGTCTGCAGTTGCTGCAGGTGGGATTCCCATACAGCCCTGAGCTTTCCGGCAGCCGAGAGAAGGGGAAATACGATCAATTGGTTATGTGTTCTCTTCAGATCCTGGAGGCCTCACACACACAGTGCTTTGATGCTTGATGTCTGTCCTCCGTGCCTGTGAGCGCAGCAGGGACTGTGGCTGCTTGGTGACAGCTCCATTCCTGGAGCTTGATGTGCCTGTAATCATCTGTCACATGGATACAGGAAAGCAGACTGGTTCCTCATGGAAAGCGACATTTCCTAGCATTACATTCTAAGAAAAGTTTCTCACGTGGAGCTATAAAAGCGAAGTTTAAGGTCATGGTTGATCCTGTTTCTCAATAACTTACTTATAACAAATGCAATAGCTTATAACAAATACTCTTGCTGTAGTGTTTTCAATTAAAGCCGAAGACACAGAGCCCGGTGTTACTGTGTCATAGACCCAAGGCAAAGGAAACAGGCCCACACGCATGTCACACTGGGTTGTTTCAAACCCTGTTTACAAGCAGATGGGGGAGGGGTACGGAACTAATACTCCAGCAAATTATTTGTATTTATCTTATTGTCATTACTACTGTATATTATTTCTACGGGCTTGGTTTTTTAAAATTTAATTAATTTATTTCTAGACAGCAGAAGGGAGGGAGAAAGAGAGAGAAACATCAATGTGTGGTTGCCTCTCACACACCCCCTACTGGGAACCTGGCCTGTAACCCAGGCGTGCGCCCTGACTGGGAATCCAACCAGCAACCCTTTAGTTTGCAGGCCGGCATTCAATCTACTGAGTCACACTAGCCAGGGTGGCTTAGTTTATTTTATACCTAGTGGTGCAGAATAGAAAGCAAACAGAAAAGGCCCCAAATCTCCCTGCCCAGAAACCCCATTAAAGTAAAAAAAAAAATTAATTCAAGTAATTTATTTAGAAACATTCGAACTATGGAAAGAAACATACTAAAAAGTGAAACCCTCCTTCCCAGAGTTAGCGTGCTGCATAAGCTCAGGGGGTACCATTTGCACTGGAGTTGGCTGCCAGCATCCCCTCCCCTCTTTGCATTTTCTGTGCCCTGAGGTAATCTCTGTTAATAATTTAAAGCTATTTTGTGAATTATTTTTTAAAATTCTCAAAATGGAGAGGTATAGTTTCTGAAGTATGAGGGATGGTGGTTAGATATCAAGAAGAACTTTCCAGCAGAAAGGGAAAATTGAAGAGAAGCCTGAAAGGGAAGAGAATTTTGAGCATGGTGGGGCAGGAATGGCAGAGGAGAGATACAGGCTGGATTTTTTTGACAGGTGGTTGTGAAAGCCCAGAGATAGGGCAAACAGGGCTGCAGAGAAGAGAGCAGAAAAAGGCTCTACTTTCTTGCCCTGATATGGGGACATCAGGGGTGGTCTGGTTCCCACTGCTTCAAATGGGCCAGCTGGGCACAGGTGGCCCAGGCCGGGAGGTCCCACCAAGCCTGGGGAGTGCGATAGCTTGGCTCCGGCCTCAGGAGCCTGGGGCCCCAGCAGAGTGGCTGCTGGGTTTGTGGGTTGTGGCCAGAGCAGCCCTAAATGCCCCCTCAGGCTTCCAGGACGTGCACGCCATGGTGTTCGTGGGCTTCGGCTTCCTCATGGCCTTCCTGCAGCGTTACAGCTTCAGCAGCGTGGGCTTCACCTTCCTCCTGGCTGCCTTTGCCCTGCAGTGGTCCACACTCATCCAGGGCTTCCTGCACTCCTTCCATGGCAGCCACATCCATGTTGGCGTGGAGAGGTGGGCAGCGTCTGCCTCCCTGCTCTCCCGGGTCTGCCTGGGAGGCGCCTGCCCGCAGGACCCAGCTTAAGCCCTGTCCCTCAAGTTGCTTTATGACACAAGGTTCTGACCCGTCAGTTGATTTCTCTTAGGTACCCTGTCTGTTGCCTGATTTCTTCCCCCAACCTCGATCCACACGCCCAGCCCTACCGCCCCACTTTTTTTTAGGCCCCTTATTACCTAAGAGCTGTTGGGAGGAGAGAGAGCTTCATGGAAAAGGGCAGGGTTCAGAAGAGCTCCTATCTGGTTCTCCCGCCTTTGGCTCTGTTCACTGAGTCCCAGAACCTACCATCCTGAGACTGGGTTTCCTCATCCACAGAGAGCCGCGGTGATCCCTTCCCGCCCACCAGGGAAGAACTTAGTAGGCTCATTTCCTCCTCCCCTGAGCCCCTTCCCCCTCTCACCCTCCCCCTCTCACCCTCCTCCTCCCCACCTTCCAGCATGATTAATGCTGACTTCTGCGCTGGGGCTGTGCTTATCTCCTTTGGTGCTGTACTGGGCAAGACTGGGCCGGCCCAGCTGCTGCTCATGGCCCTGTTGGAGGTGGCACTGTTCGGCATCAATGAGTTTGTGCTCCTTAGTCTCCTGGGGGTAAGTCTGAATGGGGATGGAGCAAGGGCAGGGGGGAGGCCAGGGCCAGGCCCTGAGGAGGAGGGGTGGGGGGAGGTGGCAGGGGAAGGGCTGGGGTCAGGGGTTCCCCTAAACCTCAGCTTTGCCCCCTCAGGTAAAGGATGCAGGAGGCTCTATGACCATCCACACCTTTGGTGCCTACTTCGGGCTGGTCCTCTCACGGGTCCTTTATAGGCCCCAGCTGGAGAAGAGCAAGCACAGCACCGCCTGGGCTCCATCTACCATTCCGACCTCTTTGCTATGATTGGTGAGGCCTGCCAAGGTGGGGCGGGGTTGGAGCCAGTTCCAGGCACCCCTGAGCTGGGCCAGAGAGGACCATCTCCAGGCAAGGTCTCAGGGTGCTGCCTGTAGTCTTTCAGGTTCTGGCTGAGAACTCCTTTCCGTCAAGTCCAGAGGTGGGGGAGGGGTCCTGTGTTCTTCCTTCTAACAGTTTGAACAGTTAGAACTCAGCCCTCGGGTACACACAGGCCCTGAGACCCATTCCCAGGGGCCTTTCAAAAATGTTGGCACCAGTCCATGCTTAAAACCCTTGAGGGCCCACCATCCACAAGTTACAAACCAGAAACATCAGCCCTGCACACGGCCCTCCGCCCTTCCGCCCAGCCCCACTCAGGCTCCCTGTCACCGGACTTCCCCCTTCTCTTCACCCCAGGCCTGTCCCTAGTGCTTCCTCCCAAGGACAGTTCCTTCCAGAAGCTTTTCCCAGAAGCCCCTGTCCTGGGGAGTTGGGGGCGGAAGTGAGGGGCCACACTGGGAGCAGTGGGGTCAGACCTGTGGACACCAGTCACCACTGCCTGTCCCTTCCGCCCTGGCCTCTGTTCTTCTCTATGCCCTTCATAAACGAGCCAGGAAAGGAAGTCGATTTTTTTTTTGTGTGTGTGGGTAGTACTGAAAGGTGCCTGGAGTGCTCATTCTTACCCTAAAAAGAGGGTCTGGTTTTGTATTTCTTGCTCGGGTTTGTTGTGAGAGTCCGTGTAACCCTGGGGCAACTCAGGCCTCCTTGCCCTTTGAGACCCAGATAAGTTGGCTTTAAGTCCAAAGGCTTCCCCGAGATTTCCGCTCCCAGAAGCATCCATTCTCACTCTCCTCTGCCACCCAGCCCCTTCTAAACAGGACACCTGACCTTCCCACAAGTCCTCCCAAACTGTCCCCTCGGAGCTCCCATGTGTGAGTGGGGCTGTGGGAGAAACATGGCCCTCCCAGGGGCCACTCGGCACTCGGCAGTCCCCCCGACCTCCTTGCCATGCTAACCCCTGGAGGGTCCCAGCCTTCCCTCACTTTCTTGGCTTCTCTCGTTCTCCCACCACGACCGACCTGGGGGCCCCTGATGTGGGCAGGCAGGGCGATGGGGCTCCGCCCCGACCCCAGAGCGGGCAGGCCCGGCCTCCCACTCGCAGCACAGAGGCCTGTGCTGCACACCGCAGGGCCCGCCCTCTGTAACAGGACATCGAGGTCATAAAGCAAATTAGTTTCCTGCCATTCATATCAAGTACCCTGCCCAGTACCTGAAATGTAGTACACTTTGTCTTTTTTTTCCTTTACTGATACTAAAAAAAAGAAAATCTCAACCCTCTGCGGTTTTCAGTCAAGTGCTCCCTCTGTGCCAGAACCCTTCCATAGCCACTGTTTGCCGAGCCTTTAGTGCCTACTGGAGCATGGTCCTGTGCACTTCAGGACCATGTCACCTCATTCAGTCCACTCTGCGAGGCAGGTATTATTATCCTCACTTTATAGGTGAGGAAGCCGAGGCTGCTGAGAGGAAGTGACTTACCTGCAGGTACACAGCTTGAACTCTGTGGGGAGCCATTACTTCCTCTCACTCTGCCTGCCTGCCCACCACTCAGGGACCCTCTTCCTGTGGACCTTCTGGCCTAGTTTCAACTCTGCACCCACTACGCTGGGGGATGGGCAGCATCGGACAGTCCTCAACACTTACTACTCCCTGACCGCGAGCACCCTCAGCACCTTTGCCTTGTCATCCCTTGTCGGGGACAATGGGCGGCTGGACATGGTATGGGGAAGAGGCCCCGGGAGAACTGGGAGGGGGAGGAGAGGTCCCATACCCCACAAGTCCAGTTCTCCAGGGGAACAGGTAAGGGCACAGGTGCAGGACATTCCAACTGCCCTGGAGGAAGTGGGGTCAGAGTGTGAGATGATGATACAGTAGCAGGAAAGTTAGAGGTTGGATGGTGGAGGGACTTCCAGAAGCAGTAGGTGCCTCTGGGCTGGATGGGCTTGGATTGGATATGGACTGATGATTTGAAGGGGTCCCTGATGCCTCACCCTTCCCTGCCCCCTCAGGTCCACGTCCAGAATGCTGCCCTGGCTGGAGGGGTTATTGTGGGGACATCAAGTGAAATGCTGCTGACACCCTTCGGGGCTCTGGCAGCTGGATTCCTGGCCGGAACTGTCTCCACACTGGGGTACAAGTTCTTCACGGTACAGACGCCTCTCCAACCCTGGGCTGAGCAGGGGGTCTCCAACAGGTCTGAAGTGGGAGAGGCACATGAGACTCATTATTGGTATCCCGTCCTCCAGCCCATCCTTGAGTCAAAATTCAAAGTTCAAGACACATGCGGCGTTCATAATCTTCACGGGGTGCCTGGCGTCCTGGGAGCCCTGCTGGGGGTCCTCGTGGCTGGGCTGGCCACCCATGAAGCTTATGGAGATGGGTGAGTGAGTTCCCCCCATCATTTCACACCGAAATGACCTCCCTCACTCTTTCCCTACTTTGTGCACCAAACAAACAAACAAACAAAAAAGTATGTATTTTCACTTACTCATTCACATTTTGGGAGCTGAGGAAACTAGAGTGAGCAAGACCAATGAGGGGACTGCCTTCCTGGTCCTCAGTCACGGTGAGCAGATCATTTGGACAAATGATTTCAATAGTGTTACTAAAGAGCCAATAAGACATAAGAGCCCTTCGGAGTGATTTTTGCACATCAGGGCTCAAGGGAGAGGGCGGACAAAAGTGACCTTCACACTGAGTCTGGAAAAGCGTGTGGGTATCTGCTATCACATGAGGGTGAAACACGAGGGAGGGTGTTTCAGGCTCCTGGAGAGACTTAGCCTGACAGGCTCCTGAGGCCCTTTCAGCCTCTGCATGATGCCATGACGCACTGACCAGCTCTGTGTCCCCACAACCTCTCCCTGCAGCCTCCACAGCGTGTTTCCACTCATAGCTGAGGGCCAGCGCAGTGCCACGTCTCAGGCCATTTACCAGCTCTTTGGCTTATTTGTCACACTGACGTTTGCCTCTGTGGGCGGGGGCCTTGGAGGTGAGTGACCTTGGCTGGGGGTAGGGGGGGTAACAGGAGCTCCAGGGAGGGCAGAAGGCAGAGAAAGGCAGTTCTCTGGAGGAAGGGCCATTGGATCCCATCACCCTGACATTCATTTACTCAGGTATTTATTGAGTATCTACTTTGTGCCAAATGCAGGGCAGGGTTATAGAGTTGAGGGGTAACCTCCTCTGGGTAAGGAGGAGCAAGTGGGCACATACTTCCTCTTGGTGCCAGGGGAAGGCAGAGCAGTGGCTACGACTGTTGGGTTCCCTGTTTCGGTTTTGTGTCTTCCCTGTGCTGCTCCATGTGCCCACTAGAGGGCAGTCCAACCTCAGGCTGAGTTCCTGAAGGGGAAGCTGAAGCTGTCTATCTTGGTCCAGGGCGGGGACAGGGAGCTAAGAAGTTGGCTCAGCTCAGAGGCCGATTGTCCAGTGATGTGCGGTCAGACAGTCCTTCCTGATTTCTGGCCTTAGTCTTTTTGGCCTTCAAAATAAAACCTATGGTTCAGTATCTTCACCTTCCTGGCTCTCAAGATTTTCCCTCTCAGCCCTGGCCTGGTGTAGCTCAGTGGATTGAGCACAGGCTGCGAAACAAAGGGTCACCGGTTCGATTCCCAGTCAGGGCACATGCCTAGATTGCAGGCCAGGTCCCCAGTGGGGGCCAAGTGAGAGGCAATTTCACACTGATGTTTCTCTCCCTCGCTTTCTCCCTCTCTTCCCCTCTCTCTAAAAATAAGTAAATAAAATCTTTAAAAAAAGAAAGATCTTCCCTCTCAGACAAGGCTCAATTCATGTATTCACCTAATGATTTATTTAATGAACACTTTCTGCACCCCTCCTGGATGGGAGGCTACGGAAAGCTTAGTAGCTGTGGTCTGTGACAGAATCACTATTTGGTTCATTACCAACTGTGCAAAACTTAAGTGAATTACTTAACTTCTCTGAACCTTAGTTTTTCTCTGTCATATAGGGATCACATTCATCTTCAGGACTGCTAATTGCTTAGGAAGGCAATGCTTGTCGAGCCCTTTGCACGGGGCCTGACATACAGTATGTGCTCGAGAAATACAGCTGTGACTTCCCTGGGCTAGGCACCATGCTGACCCCAGGCCTCCTGGCTCAGCTCCTCTGTGCCTTGTGACACTGGGTGGCACCCTCTGCCATGGAGACAGCAAAAAGCCCCACACATCCTTCCCGCCTCCACCAGGGCTCCTACTGAAGCTGCCCTTCCTGGATGCACCCCCAGACTCCAAGTGTTACGAGGACCAGATTTACTGGGAGGTAAGACTGAGCAGCCGCCCCGCAGGCCCACAGGGCCCTATCACCCTCCCCTGCCTCACCTCCTGGGACCTCGCCTGCCTCTTTCCTTTCTGCCTCCTCACCCTCCTCTGTGGTACACCCCTGAGCTGTGGCATCCAGCCACCTGGAGTTGCCCCTTCACCTACTCACCAACCCCTGCCCTTCAGGTGCCTGGTGAGCGTGAGGATGAAGCCCAGGGACCTCTGAGGCAGGAGGAGGCAGACACTGAGGCCTAACTTGCTTCCCTTGAGAGGATGCTGTTCGTTTAGAAGAAAATGACTGGCTACAACTGGGAAGTTATTTCGTAGCTCCCATCCTTCCTACTGCAGGAAAGAAGTCACAAGCTAGAGGAGACTCCTTTCCAGCACTAGGAGAATGACTGTGGAAGGCCTGGGAGATGGTGGAGGAGCAGGGCTGTAACTGGTTGTGGGGGGGGAGAACCCCCCGGCAGCCTCACCACCACCATCACCCTCCACCCCACAACCTGCAAGTGAGGCACCAAGGGACTGCTGATCCATTGGTCCAGCATCCCACAGTTAAACAGTGTGAGCCAGGGCCTGGCTCTCCGAGGGTGATAAACACCATTGTCATCCAGGACTCTGATTCCTTTTTTTGTGCATTGGGAATTTGGAAAGTTCCTTTACCCTCTAACTCGCAGTGTTAGAACCTTGGGGTGGGAAACACCCCACCTCCCTGTGTCCGTGGAACTCCCTGTAGGATGCTGTGTTCTACCAGATGGGTACCCAGCCTGGGCTTGCCTGCCTGAAAAGACAGGGAGCTCACTCCCTCTCAGAAAGCCTGTACCTGTTATAGGAGAGCTCGGGCTGCTGGAGAGTTCTTACGTTCCACAACTGCCTCCACTTTGACCCTCAACATGGGAGGCTCCAGAGCAGGGTCGGAAGGAGGCAGCCGCAGGGCCTAAGGGAGGAATAAACAGTTCTTTGCCGCTAACTTCTCAGAAGCTGGAAGCAGCCAGACACCACCTGATGTCTCTGTTCCAAGTCTGAGGAGTTGAGGAACCCATGAGAGTCACCTCTGAGAAGGAGGGGGAGACAGGTCCAGGGCCTCTGACCGCCTCAAGTTATCTGGCCACCAGAGGGCACTCCAGACGGCAGAAGAAAATGCAGCTTTCCTGCCCCTAGGTCCTCTATCAAGAATGGAAGTCCTTCCTATAGACTAACTGCCTTCCTGTCTGCTTCCACTCTGGTCCTCACCATTCATGACACACCTTTCTTAGCTCCCAGTCCCCAGTATACGCCTGGTGGGCACTAGGGCTTTCAGATCTTATCCAAACAGAATCTACCCTCCAATAGACAGGCGCTCCCTTCCCAACCCTGAAGGACTGGGACGCCTCTGTGCTGTTGCCTGCCCTTCCCCAAGGCTTCTAGCAGGAGTTGAGCATGACTACAGACCTCTGTCTCCTAAGACGAAGACCCATTCAGACTAGGAACCCAAGGAGGCAGTGGAGGGATTTCTGGGGCCTGGCTCTGGGACAGGGGCAGAAGGTGACCCCGCTAGACTCCGCCATCACTGTGGCTGGCAGGACTGAGTTTGGTTGGAGAAGGAGGCCAAGCACAGAGTTGAAGAGAGGGGAGAGGGACAAGGAGGGCAGCTGAGGGACAAGCACCGCATGGGAACCATCCCTGCCCACAGCCCAACTCTGCTCCCCCGCTTCAGCCCCCCCCTTCCTCTGCAGCCTCCCTGCCCAGTGCCGGCTGGGGTAGGAATGTCGGGGAGATTCTGGTGCTGAGGCAGAAGAATGACTGCAGACATTGCAAAGAAGTTCCTGGTCTTGTCAGCCCCTGCCAGGAGGGAAGGAATCAGAGAGAGCTGAGGAGGACCCAGCCCCCATTCCACTGTCTGAGGCCTTAGCTCCCAGTCATGCCGACCTGCTCTGCCCCAAATCTTCCCAAGTAGTCCTCAGAGATCTGAAAGACTTCAGGCAAAGGAAGATTCAAGGGTAGTATGAGATTCCTCCCTGATCCAACTCATTCCGGGTAAAGAAAGCTATACATGGGTGTCGATGACATGCACGTTTTTCCTGACCTGGTCTTCTCCCTCTACTGCTGGTTCCTACTCCACTGCTCTCATCTCCGTCCAGGGAGGCTCCTAGAGAACAAACAGCCAAGCCCTCTTTGCTGGAGGGCAGTTACTGGTCCAGATTCCAAGAGAGAAGAGGCCACAGGTCCCAGGATGGCCCACCAAGAGGTCCCTGAGAAAGGACGAACAGAGCGCTGCCCCACAGGAGCTGGCCCTGGGAGCTGCAAGCTCTTTCCCTCCCATGAGGCCTTCTGGGGCCTGGGAGATGTCTCGGAGCTCTGGCCCATGGCTCGAGGGACTCAGAACTCTCCTAAAACAGGCCCTTGGACCTCCACTCTGTTTCCTTCTCTTCCTCCCCCAAATTTGCCTCTAGTGACCAGCACATTAGCGGGCCATCCCTAGCTTATTCCATTCAGGTGGACGCAGCCATTGCTCCATTCGTGCTTTGGGTGGGGAGGCGATCTTCCTGTCGTTGCTTCCAGGCAGGGAGCTCAGGGCACAGGAAAGACAGGTGGCCCTGGGCCCCCAGCCGAGCTGGCACCAACCTCTTTCTTTGTCTTCTCTGTAGTCTCTGCTCAGCACTGCTGGTCCCCATGTGGTGGGTCAACAGGGTGACAGTGAGCAAGTCAAGAAGCTGGCAGGGAGAGGGGTGAAGGGGGCTCCATCGTCACCCGCCCCCCAGGACAATGAGGCCTCTGCCCTCAGGGACAGCCCCCTGATCACCGCCATCATTTCTGTCCGTGAAGGGCAGTTGGACACTTGCCCACTCAGGACATCTGTTCAGCCCAAGGTCTGAGCTCTGGGAACAATGATGGACGAAGACACTGGGACCCTGTTCATCTCCCACTGATGGGAGAGACAGGCTGCATTGAGGTCAGTCAGTGTTGAAGCCAGCAGAGCCAACAGCATTAAGAGCAGCGTTTCTGGAAGTGGCCACTGTTCTGGCTTGGCACAAGTGTGCGTGGATGACAGCACCTGCTTAGACATCTGGATAGGAGACCCACGGTTCCCCAGGGGCCTCAGGGTGCTTCTGTGCTTGTGTGGCCAGACCCTCCTTGGCCCGGAGCTAGGAGCTACCCCCGTGACCTCTAGAGGACCCCCACTCTGAGCGCCAGCGGCCTGGGAAAGGGCTGAGATCTGTTCCCACCCCCACCGCCCCCAATTGGGATTCACATCACGGCACGCAGCGGCCCCAGCGAGGGGAGGAATTAGACACGGCATGGGTGCCCGAAGTGGGGCGTGGTGGCCGTCCCAGGGCAGACAAACTGGGCAGCCACGACCCCCCACCTCACCCCGATATTCTCCCCCACCGTGAGGATCTCCCCACCCGCCGCCCCCCGGTCTGCGTCCCTCTCTTTTGTCTGGCCTGCCCGCCCGCAGCCGGTCCCGCCGCCCAGCGCCCCGGCCCATGCGCCCGCCGCTGCCGGGAACCTCCGGGAACAATGCGAGCCTATTTCCCGGACGGCGAGCCCGCTATGCAAATGCCCGCGGCCTGTGAGAATCCGGGCCGCCGCCACCCCGGCCTCCACCTTCTGAAAAAAGGGGCAGGGGCCCAGCGGTGTGGGGGAGGCGGTCACTGCATAGGGATGAGCTGTGGGCCTGCCCGCCCGCCAGGACAGAGCGCCATTGTTTGTGCGCGCCGTCTGATCGCCGGTCCAGCCGGCCTGGGGAGGACGGCAGGAGGGGCCTCACACCAGGCCCGTTCCTCTCCCCAAAGTCGGCCAGACCCCGGCGGGCCCGCAGCTTCACTCCCTGACCGCGAGCTCGGTAACCTGCACAGCAAGCCCGTTCCTTCTCGGATGTTAAACGTGGTCCACAGTGAGCGCTCTTCCCACCCCGCTTGCCTGTTAACCGTGCCCCTCCTCAATCCCCGTCCATTTTTTTCCACATTGCCTTGTGCCAGTAGAATCTCACAGCTGTCTCTGGACCCCGAGGGAAACGAAACACTCCTGGTTTCCCCAGGGTGGGTTTGTTACTGGGCAGATGCCCCAAGGACCCTCTCTTCTGAGCGCAAGACCAGCCCAGGCCTTGAGTCCCTCTACTGGCCCAGGAGCCTGTGTCCATCAAACAGATGGTATTGGTTCGACACTGGAGGACGATACCTGGATGGAGGGCAGGAGAGCTCTGTGCTCCGAGCGGAGGTCAGTCCCTTTCAGCCTGAAAGTCGACCCCTGCTTTCGGATGGTTCAGGCCGAGCTCCCGTAAATGGGTAAATGGGCTTCTGACCCCGCACTTGGACTTGAAGGACCAAGTCCCTGCTTCCTGAATGCTCTTGAAGACTTAGAGCAAAGGCTGATGTCACTCGGGAAAGTTGCTTCAGAGATGGTGCAGTGATGCTTCTAGGACCCAAAATGGTTTGGGGTGGGGGGCAAAGCCAATCAGGGCAACACTAAAGTAAGAGCTGTCCCTCATTGAAGTTAGGTCTTCAGTCCCAGTAGGGCGGGAGAGAGCCGAATGAGGGAGGAGGGAGAAGGTGGGGGCAGGGCAGGCAGTCCTCCTGGAGCTAGGGTCCGAGCTGCCTGTCCCCTCTAGTGTCGGCCCAGCCTTCCACTAAGGCGGAGCTCTTTTTCCCTCCTGGCCCTGATGAGGATCCAGGTGCAACAGCCCCATTATAATGAAGTTGGGGTGGAGTTGGGGGCAGTGGCGCTTGGCTCCCTGGGACAGCATTTGGGAGACCATTAGTTAAAAGTGGGGCTGGGTGCTGAAGCACTGGTGCATGGTGCCAGGAAGCAGCTAGAGCTCTGCTCACCCTGCTCCCCACCTTCGGAAGGAGGTCCTCCTTTAGCTTCTCACCCTGCTGCCCTCTTGTCTGGGTCTCTGCTTCGAAGCATTCTAACCTGGAGCCCCCAGCCTCATGGAAACTCACCCTGAGAGCCACCTCAGAAAGAAGCCAAACCCACATCCTCACATCTCCGCACAGGGCTAGAGCTCCAGCTGCCTGACCCCAGAGCACACCTCCCCTCCCTCCGCCCTCCCTGTTCTCAGCCCTGTATTTCCAGGGCCCTCTGGGTCTGGCTGGTCTTTGAGTGCCTAGGCAGGACCCGAGCAGCCAGCTTGGCTCTGAGGCTGAGAGAGGAAGTGGGCTTTGTTGTGCCTGGGCATTGTCTGGATTCTTAAACTTGCTTTTCCCACCCTGCTCCTATTGGCAGGAAAATCCTTGACCAGAGAAGCTGCCCTGCCCACCACCCCCATACACACATGCACACACTCACACTCCAGTGTCCCTCCTTCCCAGCTCAGCACCATCTATCTCCGTCTCCTCAGAGCAAGGAATGTGGCTCCAGGACACTGTGGAGCTTGTTCCCAATCCCCTTCTAGCTCATTTCATTTGAGCTTTTGCAGACTTGCCTTCAGCTCATAGCTGCTGTCTGAATTCTGGCTCTGAGGCACTGACAGGTCTCCCGCCCTCCCTGCAATCCCTCACACTCCATTTTGTCCCAACGCCATCTGAGGCGGCTGCACCATGGGGGAGTAAAGGAACCCTGGTGTGGAAACTGGTGAGGGGCAGGGTCCCCATTCTTCCCATCCCTCTGGCCACTTAGGC